TTGAAGCGGTCTATACCAACAGGTACAGTTATTTCTTATGTGCTTAGAAAAAGTGGGTGTAAAGATTTAGAGTACTAGGTACTTACTATGGGAGAGCGCAAAGCCGTCCCGTGAGGAGCAGAAATCAATGGCCAGACTTTCTGGACACCACTTGTTACGGCAAGATTCAGGCATGTACCCAAAACCAAAGCTAGACTAGCAGTTGAGAAGCTGATGTTCATGCTCAGTTACACCATCCGGTTCTGCTCAAGGAGAAGCCCACGCATCCTCTGAGCTTTGCGAGATCATCCCACCCCTGTACAAGGTAACAAGCCGGTTCTACTACTAGGTTAACCTCTGTGTCTCTTCCTTTTGTTCATTTATCTATTTCTCTCTCTTTATCTATCTAACTCGTCGTAAAATAGAAGAAATATATGACTGAGCTAAAGTAGCATCTCGCAGGTTGGATATAGTAAGAATAGGGATCTGCATTTTGCCGCATCTCTTGTCAAAATAAAACAAAGCGTGACATGAAAACAAATTGATTGTTCGCCAGCTATATTTTGTTCTTTCATGTATGACAGGGCTTACAATAAATTTTATTTCTTCCTCAGATAACAGCACCAGCACTTTTCACACAATAAAACGCAACAGAACCTCCATTGAGAAGCCGGGATGAGCTTTCAAGAAATGCTTATTTAACAAAGCCTTCTATTTTGAAGTGCGAATAGTAAACGACTACTTCGAAATAAAAAATATATATCGCTAGCAAATATGAAAAAGTGTTGTCTTGTATTGCGTCCTTGCTCGAATTCTGGGTGAGCACTTCGTCACCTTTCTCTTAAAATATTTTGTCTCTTCAATGTCACGCATTTTGAAATGGAGCCTACTAATATGTGTTTCCTCAGTTCAGGTGTCCTAAGTGTGTATGAGAAGCGTCATTTTTATCATTCAATGGGAGCAATAAACGTGTATAAAGAAAATGTAGTGTAGAATAATAGAAGTATGTTTTCATGTAACACCACGCCTAAAGCAATGCGTGAATCGACTTGTGGAGTCATTTAAAATTAACCTGTCGGCAGCGTTCTTAAGTACATTCGGAGGGTTACCGCCTCTTTTAGTTATGGTATTAGCCTGAAGAAGCAGAACCGGCACTATTACTTCCTTAAGGTGATAAACATACAGATGCTATTGGTGAATCGAGCTTTCAAAGCAACATGTACAGAACAAACTATACTCTGTTCCAGAAGTTCTGTGCAGCATATTAAAGGCTACACGACCCTCGAACGCAGGTTGTTGCGAAGCGAGATGTAGTGCCCCATTTACGTAGCCCGTTATTTGTCCTCATGACCTTCGAGTGGTCTCGTTAGAGGATTTTAACTTGAAGGCTTCTTTGCGTGTTGTAATGTGATTTGTATGACGATTTCATCGCATTTTTTGTAGAAAACAATTTCTGTGGCTCCATGATACTGAAGAAAGAGTTCTTGCTTGTACGTGTTATAACATGCACATGACAACAGAAATAATTCTGTTGTGGCTCGTATGTGTTATGTTTTTACATGTAAAGTACAAAGGATTGGTACGATACTGCCTAAAATATTATGAGTAGTCCGCATAGCCCGAGCGTCCACAGCGCCGTAGAGGACCCAGTCCTGGGTTGTGATTAGTCCACGGTGGCTGATTCGGTCACTCCTGTCGAAATGGCGGTGCCCGGTCCACCTGTGCTATATCGTTCCCGGATCAGCTTTTACGACAAGGCAGTAAGGCAGTTGGCTCTAAATGTGTTCGGGACACTGCATAAGGAGAGCAGCGGAAATGCAAGTATGAGCTCTCTCATTAAGAAAACGGCTGCGCTGACCAACGTCAGCGAGGGTTCGCTGTACAAGTGGGTAGCGGAGCGCGATGAGCACGGCGAAGCACGATGAGAACGGCGAGGCACAGGGAATAGAGCCATAATTTTGTATCGAACGCGAGCGGCACTTCGTATGCCCATAGCCATGCGTACACGCAATCTAATGAAGCGGGGTGCTTTCATATTCAATTTGGCTAGTGCGGCGCTTTCCACCAAAACATCCGCCACTGAGCCCACTCCCTTAAATGTCTACGTGCAAGTATCTCGGAGACGTGCGCTTTTGCGGTGCCGAGGAGAATATTTAACCGCTTTCACTATAGGCTCATCTCACTGCGCAGTTGCACAGTGTCCCGAGACACTCTTGCTGTTTTCACTGCAGCGCACGTCACTAGCAAACGACAGGGTGCGGAAGGATACACTTATATGTGCTCGCCCTCCTGATTGGTTAAAAAGGCCTGTGACTTCCACAGTGCTGCACGGAACTTCTGGAACAAAGTATAGTGTACTTATAACGACTTGCTTCCCTTTGCCCACGATGGTCCATCTCAACTTTGCCCCTTTCGTGATGCACGGGCATCTATTTACCACGTGGTAGGACGTTGTATGGACTCACCACTCAGGCATTCGTGCAGTTTCAAACCCATAATTTCCGGGAAACAGCCCTAGATAACTGACCTGATGTACACTGGTCCAAATATAATACCATGCTCAAGTATTTCAATGCATCCTCTGCTACACTTCTAATCATGTCGTGGGTAAAGTGCCATTTTAGTGGTGGAGCTTTTTAAGCCGTGGGTCGTGCGTTGACGACGAACGTAGTAGTAGTAGTAGTAGTAGTAGTAGTAGTAGTAGTAGTAGTAGTAGTAGTAGTAGTAGTAGTAGTAGTAGTAGTAGTGCGTCGTAGTAGTTGTAGGTGGCCACCTCCACGGCCAGGCTAGAGGAGTAGCACGCGCACACTCATTTGAATTGAGGAGGAAACCCATGCACGATTATCATAAATAACAAGATAGTTGTTTCTGAGGAGATAGCTTACAGAGACTAGTATTGCTGACATAATATTTAATAAAGTTTCCGTCTGAGTTGATGCCTAGTAAACAAAACTTGTATCAGAAGAACGCCCTTTGAGCACTGTCTGACCAGAAAAGATGGCCGCGTTAAACTCGCGGGGCATAACATCCTTGGATTTAGACACAGGGTTGGGCCGCAGTGCCATGAACTAGAGGCAGTGACATCTGGGCGCTAGACACGGAGCACAGGCCGTAAGAGAGTGCACGCTTGCTCCTCCTCTAGTACGGCCATACCACCTTTTAATTAGTCTTTGAAATGTCCGCTAGGTGACGGCCCTCTTATATGATGGATACATGAAGAAAATATGCGAGATGGTGGTACTTGAAGCGTTCACTAGACGGACGGATGGACATACGCAAGGATGGAGAGACAGACAAATGCACGTATAGACGAACGCATGAATAAACGGAAGGTAGCACGGATGGAGGCATGGACGCATGGATCGACGGAAGCAAGAACGAACGGACAGATGGAAGCGTGGACGGACTGACGCATGCTTCACCCGGGCCCGCTCATCATCGTGCACTCCGTCGATATGCCGTGCTTTTTTAGTTGTGGCAGAATAAATAACACGTATTTTTTTAGTTTTCTGGTAAAAAGAAGCAGCCTATAGGTTAAGCGACTATCTCCTAGTGTTTTGTTGAGCGTAGCGTAGAAGAAAATTTCTTTGAATTACTCAGCCAGACAAAGGGGCGAAAAGTGTTGAAAATGTGCGGGCTACTTGATAACGCATTCGTTCTTCGCCAGTGCTCCTCGGCTACGCTGGTGCACAAAACCGGAAGCCATCCAGCACCTCTGCTTTTAAACATATGCAAAATGTACATATTCATGTTTTATGTGTTCTTGTTTACCATGAAATATTTTTGTGGCTGTGCTTGTGTGAACCATCGAATGTACATGTTCTTTCAACGTCATATCATATCCATGTTCATGTAAATGACGTCTGTATTGTCATCATCGTTATTGTATGTCTAAGAAGAAAATGTTCTGTTGAATATTATTGACGTTTGTGACAATAAAGTTTTCTAAACACAGGTGAAAACACTTTATGCATGACGTGATGAACAGTGTAGTGCATTGGTACTTAAAAGTGGATAATCATTGCTGGAGTTTCAAGTGCCAAAATCAGGATAATAATGACTCACCTACAGTACTGCACGTACCTGAGACCTTTCTTTGCCTATTGTGAACGTAATGTGCAATGTTCGATATGGGAAACACGAATTGAAAGCCAGTTTTTGCACCATTTATTTTGGGCGCCAGTGATCACGATTTCACCAAACCTCTATATTTTGCTGAAAATCAAGTGAACGCAAAAAAAAAACAGTGACTAGCGACGTAGCGAAGACATTTATTCGGCCGTCATTCATTACAAAAGTAGCTAAATTGCCACAAAGTAGCGATAACTGGCAACTTTTGTAGCGACGTGTCTACGATTCTATCTGGATGAAAAATTCCCTTCCAACAAACATTTATAAAATATTAAAAGGAGGAATTAGGTACATCACCTGGTTATAAGGCATAAAACCTTCACCTTTTAAACGCTTTAAAATATGCTGTCTGGAACAATGCCTTTTTATTCAAATTCGTCTGCTCACATGAAATATTACATATGCCACAACCAGCTATTGTCGAAAAATAAAATGATCTTGAGATAGTTTTATTGAGCTTTCTTGATGGTATTTGGAAAGCGTAGTTGGAACAGCTGCCGTTTTTGTTACTTGTTAATATTTAATTTTTCATTGATTTATTTGTTAATTACGTATGACCAATTTAACTATTCGTCAGCCGACCAAGAAGAAATGGTTTCTTTGTTTCGAACAACATTGGACAGTATTTTTATTACGCAGGGATACAGTGCTTGAGGTGAGGAGAGTGGAAGACTGCTGAATGGTGCGGATACATCCAGAACATCAAAACAGGTGAGTCGATCTGAATAGGGACCATACACAATTACTAGCTTGCATGAAAAAAAAAAAACACTACCTCAGCTCAGTCACATTATTCCAGCTTTCTTTGAAAAACACTTGCAAGGTCGTCTGTCAACTAGGTTTGCGAAAACTGCAGCTGCCGAACAAGCTTGCGCTGCGTAAAGCTAATATCTCGAAATGTTTCGCCTTCATTAGTGAAAAGTAAGTCACCTGGCTATGGCGCTTCTGCGTTGCGCCCTTGCCTTTCTTACTACCATTGCGTACGGCTATGGTATGTAATCGTTTGTTATGTTTGTTTTTTGCCTTAAGTCAGTTAATCAGGTCATGTGCAGGCAAGGTTAAATCTAGGAAAATGTTTATTGTTATGTGTAATACCTGCAGCTAAACGGCAGTTTTTAAAAAGAATGGTGTGTTTTTTTTTCTATTAGATGATACGTTTTCTTCCCTATATACATTACACAAGTTATTTTTTACCCTTATGTTAGTTATTTTTGCTGTTTCAAGCTACCTGATATAAAAAAAGCTTTTTTTAAGCGAGGCTACATTGCTGACCTTTGCTTTTGGGAACTCGCTGTGCGTAACATTTATAACAACTTTTTATGCCATTAGCTCGTACTAATAGATCAGGGCTGGGTGATTCTATAAACAATAGTCTTTCGCTCAAGCGAGTTCCACTGGCTTGAATAAAAAAAAATCATTCCTCTTTAAGTACATTCTAACAAGAGAAAGAGTGCATATTATCAAATAATATTTTTGGTGTTTAACGTCACAAAACCACTATATCAAAAGAAAGAGCTCATTATTTACGACTAATAAATGGGCAATCGGGATATTAGTGCCAGTAAAGTCCAAGTGTGTGGTAATATTGTTACTAGGAAAATCGTTCACTTCTTCACTCTCAGTCTGAGGCACCTTACTTGGGTATGTCCCACTAAGCCCTGTTTCGGTCAGCCGAAATCACGTAACAATATATATTATAAGACGTCAGGTTAAAACTACTACGTCTCAAACAAAACTGCTGAATAAGAGGAAATGCACGGCTGTGTGTCAACAGTTGTTTTGAAACTGAAAGATACGGTAAGAACGCGGGCTTTTTTTTTCAAGCTGGGGTCTAAAACTATAGAAAAGTGGGAACAAGACGTTTGTCTGTAAACAACAGCGTTTTCTCTGCTTGCACGTCCTCTTGAACAGGCTGGTTCTGTGCGCAACGTGCACTCGCGAATATTTTCTCGAAGCCACTGTTCCACACCTCTGGGATTACGCCTTTGTTAGATTGCCACGGCACGTGCTGTTTTCCTCTATCGCAAAACTCTCGAAATGCCTCATCATTGCATAAGCTTTCGTTCTGCTGATACGGATCTTCCCGGCCTTCCCCAAAACACTAGTTAAATGGCAGATGGCAGCTCAAAAAAATTGAAAGAAAAAACAAATCACACTTTTGGCACAACGGCGAAGCAATGAACGCGATAGCAACAAATTGGAAAGACACGCGCAGAATGGAAAGCACATCGATAACGTGCTCCGCGTTTCTCATGCACAAATAACGCTCGAAACGTACTCATGGATACAGATGCACGTGAATAAGCACCTTAGTTGTTACTTCTCTGTGCCTGAAAAGCGCGAGCTTTTCGCAAACGGAGACAGCAATGAGTGCAGTGACTTTAGTGCGCCCGGTAAGTACAAGAGAATCATTCCAGGTAAAACCCGAGGCCAGCCAAGACGTACGATTCTCCCCTCCTCGCCACCGCGAGATAAGGGCGTGCGAGGAAACGTCGCTTCTTTCCTCTAAGCGTGGCAAAGTACGCGTGGGAGATTACAGCACGCGCCACCACACGATAAGAAGTCGAGTACTCATTACAACATCTTGTTGATAATGATAAAAACACGGTAATTCTTCCCAAAATGCCCATCAGCAGCGTTAAGTGGTAGATATGGATAGCTTGCTGTTTGAACGTTGGAGGACGTGCTCCTCGGTGGCTCAGTGGTTAACGCATTGCGCTCACGACTCAGAGGACCCAAGTTTCAATCCGCGCGCAGAGCCTTTTTCTCTTTTTTTATTTCTTGCATTTTCATACATATACGTATACATACATGTTGAGTGACGGCGACGTCGATGCCGGCGGCAAAATTGAGCTGATTGTGTACGCATAATTGCTATCGCAATAAAAGGAATTGTCTTTGCGCTTTTTCCAAAGAATGGGGCACCATTTTGTTTGTTGTAATTCCGCCATTAAGTGGTGTGATAGGTGGATCAGGCAATCATTGAACGCCAACTATAACTTGGAAGGCATCCAGAGCCATGCGATTTATTGCCTCCCCTTGAGTAGAGGTTGAGGGAAGCCAGTAGGCGTCAATACAAAAATTCGCGATGGCGGCTGCATGAAAGTGAGAGAAACATGCGAAGACGCACTGAGCTATTAGCGAACATCACTGCGTTTTTTCTCGCTGCAGCAACGTTGATTAAACTCTCGTCTTCTTGATGCAGAAGGTTGAAGTAGACGTAGTTGCACAGGGCGCAACATAATTAACTTAGGGTTGGTAATCACGAACAATTTAGCACATGTGTTAAGGGACGTTTCCTGTCACGTGACCTTTAGAAGAATGTAGTTGAATTAAATGCGCTATTCCATAGGTATGCATTAACGTGTCACTTCATATTGGCATGGTTATAAAGAAAAGAACCAAATCATTCAAGCGTGCTCTCCAAAACAAGCTTACTCAGCTTGAAGGCATAGACATTTGCGGAGAGTACGGGGGCGCTGGAGGACTTGGCACCCCTCCGGGCTGCTACATAGAGGGTATAGCTCCCATTTCATGCACTGGTCAAAAATATATTTTATGACCTTGGCGTAGGCTGTCATTGACTGTCAATGGACTGTTGGCCATCCTGTCTAGCGGCTATTTTGCAAGCGACTTTTCGTGTCCGTTTCTTTTCCTTTGAAGCTTTTAAATTTTTAATCGTGAGGCAGTTAAAAGAAGGGAGTTTCGCATCGTGGTCACATTAAAATAAGTTCGCACGGTGACAAAATTGCGGCACTAGCACGGCTCTTATGCAAATTATTGGATATACACGTACGCATCAAGAAAATAAGTTTTTTGTGCAGCACACATTTGTTCACTCTCTTCCTAATACTTCCCAATAAGTCCTTTTGTCATTATAAACACACACACACACACACACACGCACACACACACACACTCACACACACACACACGCACATACTCACACACACACACACACTCACACACAGATCACACATCAACCACGCACATATATAAATGTGTGAGTGCTCCTGCAGCTCAATCATATCTGTTTGCAATACACGAACACTATCTCTTTGGATATGTTGATTTTGTCCTATACATGATGAACTGGTTTTTACAGATCGTAAAAACTAGCACGACGTACTACTACACGAGTAGTTTTAGTGGCCGCAGAAAGTCTCTCGAGCAATCTCCGTAAATTTCGAAACATAAGTGTGGTGGTTGAAAGAAGATCTCGAGGCAGCCTAAACTTAAACTTTGCGCGATTTGGTATTGAAAGATTAGTAGAATTTTTCAAATCAAGGGAATTGTAATGTATAAGGGATGGATATTGCTATCTACATTCAAATAAAACGCTGAGTTCCTTAAGAGGCTGTCCTATCTCCGGTATTATTCAATGTTCTGATCAGCTTTATTCTTATTCACCGAGATATCACTGTCAACATTTATGCAGATGACATTGCGTCTTTCGTTGCAGACAGTGGCATTTACTTCTTGTAATCAAAAATCGGAAAGACACATTTATACCCTAGAAATATAGCTGCAGTCAATCTCTTTGTCGCTAAAAAAATCAGTAAAAGTGCTATTCTGCGATTTCCACTAGCACATTCGATTTCGATATTAGTATTATATCAGAAGGAGCTAGTTCCACAGTTGGACCTTAGTAATTATTTGGGATGACTTATAATGGCAAACGTAATAAGAGTCCGCCTATAGAATATACAGCAGCGAAGGCAACACTAGTTTCAGGCCTATTGTGCTTGCTTAGTTAGCAACAGGATATATGAATTACGTAGAGACCCGTTATTGATAATATGCAAAATGGACCCAATACTAGAATTCGACCCAATACTAGAATGGACCCAATACTAGAGTTTGAATGCAAACTTTTAGTTTTTTTTTTCCTTTTTGGAGCGAGATGGGCTACTAATGTGCCTCGGACTCTACAGGTTTGTGGCTATTATTCTAATGTATCAGGAAGTACGCATGCTAACGCTTCTTTGTCGATTCCGCATTCTGACGGAACAAACTTCCTTAAAATATACAGCTTACCAGCTTGAAGATCTGCGCATACCTTTACAAGTGACCCCGACGCCTTCTTTATTTCAAATTGGCCGCGGTATCACATACCCCACATTACCTTTGTTCAAACAAAATTGGAAAGCGTAAGGGTGGCCACTAAAATGGTATTCAAAAATTATGAATTAAGTGACAGTATTACGAAAGAATGCGACAAATTTACTTCCCCCACATTCTAAGTTCCAACTGCTCAGATTTTTGAACAATAGATTCAAAGATTACATAGTGCTTTCAAAAAAAGATAAAAAAATAGCCGTAGATGCTTCTGTGAATATTGGAAAGGCTGGTGTAGGAATTGCCTCTGATTACCTCGGCTGGTCATTCTAAATGGAGCTGCCACATCTCACTCCTCTTTCTGAAGCTGAGATTATGGGTACTATTCTGACGCTTCGAAAACTGCCTTCGATAGAATTTAGCGCAACCTTCATAACATACTTTCCTAGGCGTGCAGCTCTTACAACTTCACAGCGATCAAGAGCCCCATCGTTTTTGCGCACATTAGTACCAACTTAACGGCAACTACTAAAATTAGTATGGGATTCAAACCCTTGTGGCATTCAGTTAAAATGAGCCGGCTAATCCGTTAGCCCGAACATCGCTTGATGGACCTACGCTTTCGCTACTCCTAAAAGTAGAATACATAGCACAGATCAGATGTAAAAAAATAGCAATTCGTATGGATATGTTGAAGAGTATTGCTAAATGGAAAGACTGTCAGCACGTCAGTTTTCTTCTTTTTTTTGAAAACGTCGTTCGAGTCAATCTAAAAAGTTTTAGATTAATTTCACTACCAAACTTCTATGCCGTCTTTCCTCATTAAACCTCTACTTACAGCTGGTCTGGTGATGTCTCCCCTGTGCCGATTTTACAAAGAAACAAAAACTATTGAGCCGTTTTCTGTATCATGTCGGAACTATTAATGCATTGGTAAAATAATTCTAGTTATTCCGGTTTCAATGCTAGGTTTAACTTTAACCGCAGCAAATGTTGAAAGTTTCGGAGCGTCCCTTTTGGGACATTGCCACAGAAACGTATCTGATGCAGTGTGCTTTTTATTCAAGAAACTAAACGTATTTCAACATAAGGTAAGGTTTAATATATACTCGAAAAATGCTAGTGATATCTTTGTTAATGTGAAATAATTTCGGCCAAACATTCCATTTTTGATTGGGTTAGAAAAAATCAGCTGTCTCGTCGGCTCAAAACTGTTGTCTTTCGATATGGCACTAATTTTGTTCTACTGATTCATTTCTATTTTATTATTCCTATTTTGTTTATTCTTGAAGAACAATTTCCCATTTTTTCTTTCTTTTTACATTTTACAATAGGATTACTATCATTGTATAGTTATCACATATTGCCCACTACAAGGTTTCTTGGCCGATCCCCCCGAGTGAGTATGCGCCTGTGTAAACGGGCAACAAACAAAGAAACAAGCTTTGTCCTGTGTGGTATTGTCATCCGAGCCTTCATTTGATAAACCCCAAAGCCCCTACCTCAGACATAACGATGTTTTTCTTTTCAGCTGCCCCACAAACGCAACCAGGATTTTGCCTTGAGCGACCGATTAAAGCTGGATGTCGCGAAATAAAGGAATTATGGTATATTGATCCTCGCACCAAAACATGCATCCCGCAACGCCATGTGCTTTGCGGTGGAGGGCAAGGTTTCTTTCATTCAAGGCAGGCATGCATTCAGTGCCAACGTGAGTAAACGTTTCTTCCATGTCGTCAGTGAGTGTTCCACTGTCAGGATTGTTCAGCTAAGTATGCCTCACTGTGCCCGAGTACAGCATGGTCGTAATTCGAAAGATCATTATGTGCCCTTTGTCCCAAACATCAAGGGTTTTACCTAAGACACTTTGAAACCATTGCATGGACATGTTTTTTATCGTTATATTAACACAATAATATTCAACAGCTAGTTTCGCAGAGGTTCTGGCGCCAGTGCCATGATTGTGAATGACGAATCACGAACTTGCACGTGACAGAGAGAGGTGCAACAAAAATACTACACATTGCAAAGTGCACATCTTTGTTTCGAAGTGAGATTAAAACCCATGCAGTCAGCGTGGCAAGCAAGTGTTCTATCTCAGAGACGCGCCATTGCTTGAGACTTCACTGGTAAAGGAACACTATATGAAAGTCATGTAGTAGAATGAGTTCTTCAACATGTCTAATACTGCGTGGCAGAATCTCAGAATTACACCAGGTTTCAGAAGAGGTGAATTGCGCCACTAGAGGATGGTTTGAAGCTGCCCACAAATTGCGAAGAGCGCACCTATGCAAGTGCTCGTGATATCTTACGAACCAGTTGAGAGTATTTTGTCAGTTGGCAAAATGAAGAATGAATTTTGTGTATGTTCATAAGGCCCGTATCAATATTGCTGCATGGAGCTTGCAGGTGGCATACTTTGTAAACAGAGTTCACGACTTTCCACGTCTAAATGGTATATGCGAAGCGTGGTCATGGCGCGAAGCATCTGGATTCGTCAAAAAAAAAAAAAACGATCCCACTCACGTGCTCAGAACCCCTAGCAGCGGCGCTGCACCGGTGGTGAAGAAAACTAGGCTCCTTACGCTAGTTTTAGGCCAATGTGGCAGACCACAATCCATACGTTCCCACCAAGTGGTCATACCTGAAGCTAGAACCATGTGGTTAGAACACAACTTTCTAGTATTCCACTCTCGTGCATATGCTACTTCTATTACCACGTAATAATAATAATAATAATAATAATAATAATAATAATAATAATAATAATAATAATAATAATAATAATAATAATAATAATAATAATAATAATAGCATTAATAAGACATTTGAATATTTTCAATAATATATTCAGGTGGTTATGCGATGTAGGGAAGTAATTATCGAAAGAAAATATATTACTGCTGGTGTGCCACAAGGTTTGGTGTTGTCACCATTGCTATTTAATTTATTTATTAATGACTTCCCCTTGGGAATTCGTAAAGCCAATGGGTACCAGTATGCTGATGTACGGTGCTATTAACATGCCACATACGTTATGAAGTGGCAAATAATGCTCTTCAGAGTGAAATTCCTAATGCAATGATATGGCTTGAAGAAAACTTTTTAATCGTAAACGAAAAGAAAACAAAACTTATTTGCTTTCGAAGCTCTCTCAAAACACACAAAAAATGAATATACCAATTTTTCTTCACACCGAGCATTGCAACGCATGCAAATGTTCTGCAGTGAAAAATGTCAAAACAATCAGATACTTAGGCGCAATTTTTCATAGTGGTATGTCTTGGCAACATCACATGGCATTTATTTCTTTCAAATAGAGAAGTGTGACATGTCTGCTTTTCAATATAAAAAGCTTGGTGCCTCTACCAGTGAAAAAAAATTGTAGTTCATTCACTAGCATATAGTGGGGTGAGATATGGGATTACAGTTTTCGCATTTTGCTCATAACGCTGGAAAACACACATTGATAGTTTACTTTAAAATATTTTAAAAAGTGTAGCTTACGGTAGTAAGGTAGATTCCAGTACTATTTTTCGGAATTTGGCTTTTGTGTATTCCAGCATTTGTTTATTAAAACAGTGGTGCTGAGATACAATTGGTGGGATGACTTTAAAGTGCCATATGTAACGCGTCTACCCCTGAGATAAAAAAAAAAAACGCGTCTTATAGTACCTCGGTTTCCTACCAGGTATGTAGAAGCATGTAGAAGTGTATACATTCCAAAAAATTTCAATGCACTACCTGATGTTTTTTTTTTTTCAGTGAGTTGAATAAAAAATTAAAGAAATCACTCAGTGAGCTGTAAAATCAAATGGTCTACTTCTATTTAACGCATGCTTTGGGTCCCTCCTTTGTACTTCTTTTTTATTTACTGCCTGTAAAAAGCAATGGTATCAATCACGAGTCCGTTCGTTGGCAAAGAAGCAACAATAATTTTTCTTACTTTGTGTCCACATACCTGTAACCGGCCCTGCCGGGCCTAGTCACACGTGTCTTTGGGACTTAGACAGGCCCATTTCTTTGTATTTCTTATGGATGTGTACAATAAATTGTTATTATTATTATTATTACTATTATTATTTTTTATTTTTATTATATTATTATTATTATTATTGTTATTATTATTATTATTATTATTATTATTATTATTATTATTATTATTATTATTATTATTATTATTATTATTATTATTATTATTATTATTATTATTATTATTATTATTATTATTATTATTATTATTATTATTAGACAGCAGTAGTAGAATTAGCAGTAATAAGAATGAATAGATATTCGCCATGATTGCGCTGAACGAAAAATTGGCTAATCACAAATTGGGACAGAGCAGGTTGCCAACTACTCACGGTTGCGACAACTATAATAACCTGTGTGCAGAAACTTTGCACTTGAGCTCTGTAGAAGTTCCCCGCAGAGACAAGGAAAAGTGTGATAAAAAAAATAAGCTAATGCACTTGGCAGCTTCAGTCATCGACTTCCACATTGTTTTTTCTAGGCTGAATAAAGTCTATTGAATAGAATTTCGCGAACACTCAATAAAGCGACGCACAAAGAGGGTAGCAGCACAAAACAAGAAAAGAAAAATATCTCTAAAATTCCGAAAAATAGAAATTTCGGCAGATCCCACATTCCTTGGGAATCAATATTATGCGAAGCATGCGGATGAAAGGTGATTGTGTTTTTTTTTTTTTTTGAGCGAGACTTCATTAAGTGATGCTAAATATATTTACAAATACACGCACACACTTACTTTAAACAGCCGCATTTCTCTTATATTAGCAGCTGTTTACAATTCCGGGAAGATTGCAACACCAACATGGACATTAACAACACTAGAAACGCTACGCTGTTGTGAAGCGCTGGTATTTGCGCTGGGGCTCACGAGGATGGTAGTCCTCAACAATGCTACAAAAATCAGTCTCAGTGGACGGCGTTCAACTACGATTGACGTTACCACAATATGATGGCTATATCATAGGATTACATAGAAACTATTTATAAATTTTGATAGGCACTACTGCAACTGGAATTGTCGTTACACGAGCATTAGGGTCTATTTGCGAAGTATTTGCCTAGACCTGGCATGGCTTTGTGGTAGAATACTCCATCGCCACAAAGGATGCTAGCATTTGGTTCCTCTTGGGACACCGCCACTTAGCATTCGCCCAGTCGACGTTGCCTATGGCAGATTTTTTTTACGCTCAAGCTTTAAAGTTACTTATGTGTGTTCTCGCCATACCTGTTGAGATATAAAGTATCCATCACCTGTAGAATATACCAACCCCCAGATGTGTGCCACTGTTTCTCGGAAAGTGTTTAACGACATACACGACGAGATGGCGACGTTATTCATGTCATGACCAGCGAGTCGTGTTTGTGGAACCATCTAGCTATTTTGGGGGCACTTGAAGGTGAGGGGGGGGGGGATCATGAGAGCACCCAGACGTAGGTAGGTAGGTAGGTAGGTATGTAGGTAGGTAGGTAGGTAGGTAGGTAGGTAGGTAGGTAGGTAGGTAGGTAGGTAGGTAGGTAGGTAGGTAGGTAGGTAGATATCAAATGTAAAATGCTTCGCAGGTACCATATACATGAAATACGCCAAACACCTATTTTTTGAAGTTAACAGGCTGCAGCTATGTTTATTGCGTCATACGGCCTTGGATATTTATTGTACAAATCGCCAAAATATTCAATGTTTCAGGCTGCTGGAATCATTTTGATTCCATGATGTTTATTCATCGCTATCGCCACGAAACCGAAAGAGTTACTTTGTAAAATCATGCACACCTCCTTAGCCTCCACACTAAGCTATGACAGTCACTGGAGTGGGTGCGGTCTTTCAAGACTCACTATTGCTATTTTCCTCATATAAAGTGCGAGGATTATTTTCCGAAATTCTATGAATCTGATGCGTTGAAATATGCGTTGAAATATCCAGATGAGGCATTTTTAAATGCCTCATCTGGATGCTAAGCAGCGATTACATAACACGTTCTTCAATGTAGAGGTAATAAGTTCAGAGGTTCAGCGCGAAAGGAAAGGGGCCAAAAACTGGAAGAAACGCAAACATCAGCAGTGTATCTTGTAATGTTCTTCATTCATTTCGCTCTGAACCATTGATTATGTTTAATTTGACCCTATTCGCCCAAATGTCAGTTGTTCTGCTCTCTATACAATGCCTATCTTATTGCGCCTGCTCTAAAGCCCCATGTTTACTTATATGATCGAACTTCCAATTTTGCAGGTAATCTGGGGAAGAAGGGTCCCCAAGCATGCCCTCCAAACCCCTTCCTCGGTGGTTGCCAACCGACTACACACAGATGGTACTACGACCACGATTACAAGACCTGCCGGCCGTTTCAAGGCGGAGAATGTAGTAGAGGGCTAAATCATTTTCCAACTGAATATAGGTGCAGGGAGACGTGCGTACGTAAGTAGAAATTTTACTTGATCTCTAACAACGTGAAAAACTGATTATCTTTAACTTCCAAGCATACAGTTATACTGAACAATGTATGAAAGAAACTAAGTGTGCTGCCTTTACACTGCGGCCGAATGTACATTCTTGTATTTTTCGAAGACGTTGTTCTAGCTCGAAGCAATCAGGGAACTTCGACTATATTTCACGCACATCACCTGAAAAATAAGAAGGAAAGAAGGAAGAAACAACATTAAGAGAGTAGTCAGGGAGGCTAACCAGGCACATGGCCGGTCGGCTAGGCCACGCTAAGGGAATAGTAAAGGAAAGTATAAAATGTTATGGAAGATGTAACATGGCTAGAATGCATACTGAATATACCAAATTTTGTTTGGCGTAACATGCCTATTGAACAAATAAAATTTACGAATTTCAAGGCATTCACAATGAAACCCCTTTTATCTAACTGATACCTCTATCGTTGACTTTGTGAGTTGAGCACACCTCTTTATATATACTCTATTATTTGTGAGGAGATACCATTCTAACTAAAATGTCAAAAGCTTTTTCAACGGTATTCAGGGTGATCAGCACATAAGCTTAGCATCTAAATACTATGTGTTTCAGTCAGGGGCTGTAGCCTGTATTGCAAAAGTGCTAAATGCTAACATTCATTTGTTCGAAAAAGCAGCGCACGTGAGAAATCACCAAGTACGTCAACGTTATTATGACGGAATACGAACGACGCCGCCATTATCTCCACTTCCTGTAAACGCTACGCCAATGGTCCGTGATCAAATCGAGTTCAAATGTCGGAAGCTGATGTTTGATAAGTAGCCGGGCTTTTTATTCGACTACTATCAAACGGCATTGAGTCTAACAAGAACTCAGGCCCGCAGCGGTGTTGTATACTAAAGATTGATATTAAAATATAAAGCGGATATCTATGTCTGCCAGTTAACTGAGTTGAAAATAGCTATTTTAACCTTGCGTTTTATTACACTGCGTTCTTTAGGTGAAGCACGAATGAAAGCTACTAACAGTTATTTAGCAACCAGAAGGTTGTAATCATTACACCAAGGGAAATACACTTGCCCAGAACAATTTCAATAAATGATGTACAGAATAATAGTCTTGTGCTTATTTTTGCGCGTACAGTCATATGTTGTTTATATTTTTTTCCTTTCAGCTGGCGTGATTAAACCACCTGATAGATGTCAGAAGCCGGTAGTGCGAGGCCGATGCAAGGATTTATATCGCTTCTGGCGTTTCGATTTTCAAAGGAACGACTGCATCAAGTACAGATCAGGTCTTTGTGGTGTTGGGGATAACACTTTTGTGACAAAAGAGAGCTGTTTGTCTGCATGCAAAAGTAAGTACATATTTCCTATTAATTCGACAGTAACGCCCAGAAACCAACGGCGACTGCACTAACAATAACCAATTCCACACCTAAAACAAATTAGTCACAGCCGTTTAACGATTCGTGACAAGTTGTGTCTCACGAACACACATTTACTGTAAAGTATTAGTAGGCGTGTATGAAGATGTAGTTAGAAGCTTCGGAACACAATCTTGTAAATACGTACATCTCAAAAATCAAAATGGCCGCAACACTCGCACTTTCACGAATGAATGAAAATGCTCCGAAACCATTGACAACCATAAGTGCAAGCTTTTATTTTTCTCACGGCATTATAGACTTATGTCAAAATACTAGAGTCCTTGCTAGTTTTTCGATCTTTTGTTTCGGGTGATTTGTGTATTCATTTCTTTATTCCGTAATTACAATTACTGCGTGTAGGTATCGCTCATTAGCATTAAAAACACGTGTCACTGAAATTCTGGTGCATGCGGCATCGGCTATGATTGCGGCATCATGTTTGCGGCATTGGTTATGAGCAAAAAGTCGAAGTACTCCGTGAGCGAAAGCACGGGAAGGATGCAAAAAATCATTGATATCAGTTAGACCCGGAAATAAACCAATGCATATGTTGCTTGAAATCAAGATGTTTCACATCACCACAATGGGAGTTATAGAAACTGCTTCCAAAAACTTCTTATATATATGCGTCATGTGGGGTGACTTTACTTGTTAAAACGTGCATAATTTATGTGTGAGAGTCATGGGAGCCACTACACCCCGTCTATTGGGCCTCGAGGAGACTTACAGGTTACGAAATGCTCACACATAATCGATATTGCCCATTGGCCGCAGTAATAACAAAGTGTAAAGCAGCGTATGCTCGTATTGCCTAAAACACTTGCGTGTGCTTCGCATCCGTTCTTACAGTAAGAATGTGAAAAGATTTAACTAAAAAACGAGAATTATGCACCCAGATATTATTTTTTTATGGTTAGAATGAGGTGCCTTGTCAGAAGTGCAGCATAGCAAATTCGATTGTGCTACCATGTTCATGAAAAGAAAGCGTCGTACAAATTTGATTGACATTTTTTGTACTAACTAACTTTTCTACCAATAGCATGAGTGTAATTTTGGTAGTCGAGCTTCGCATACAAAGTGCTTCACCAAACAACAACTTTTATGATTTCCTTAGTCCTTTTTTTCATTAATATGACATGTATGGAGCGATTGGCGCACAAGTAAGACCACGGCTATATGACCCATAGACCTCGAGAGAATATTGAACATGCATCCCAAAGGAATAATAAAGAGCAGTACATGGAAATGAGAACACACGAGAGCAAATACCTAGAAACAGACTCATGCGCACATACCTAACAACACAAATAAAGTTCAGGCTAGAAGACTAAATTGTAATGCGCGCTAAGCCAACCTATTGTCTTCAGAGTATCCTGTTTGGTGGTTTTATTACTATGTCCGCACATCTAATGCAGCCTAATATTTTACAGGACCTCTAGGCCAAAAGGCTCCCGGTTGCTTAAATCAACCTCTTTATGGCAGCTGCCATTCTACCAAGCTGGCGTGGTTTTTCGACAATAAAGTCGGCCGCTGCAAAATGTTCCGCCAAGGCGAGTGCGGAGTGGGTGGAAACTATTTCGCAAGCGAAGTAAAGTGCATGCAAGAGTGCCTTCGTAAGTACAAATTTCCTTGGTGATTGAGATCGCATGAACAGCATTCAATATTTAAGGAAGCTTTCTTCACTGTGATGTTGGGGAGAATTACGCACAGCATAAAAAACGTGATTAATTCTAGACAGCCGAACAAACAATCCGCACCTGCGTGTATTATTTAAGCATCAACTCCCTATCCTTCAGAAAGAGCAATCGCATTCACTGTGGTTTTAGAACGAAGCACGAAACACAAAAAAAGAAACACTATGAAGCTTTGCACTTGTGCAGCTTTATTCAAAAAAACTTTGCTAGGTGGGCTAACTGATGTTTTGTTTCTTTTCTTTCTGTTTCTTTTTCTGTTTCTCATTTATTTTTGTAAACATTGTTTCTTATTTATTTTTTTCATATTTATTTCTTTCTGTTTTCTCAGGTTTCTCACCCTGTCGTTCTTTATATTCATTTCTTCTCTTCCTATTCCTGACCCTCTGCTTGTTTCTTTTCTGTTTGTTTTTCTTTAATTCTCTCTCCTTTTCTGTCTTGCTCTCTCTTTTCTATTTCTTATCGTATCCGTTTCTGTCTCTCTTTTCATCTTCTTTTCCCTGTCTGTCAATCCTCTTTTCTAGTTATTTCATTGTGTGCTTCCTCTTTTCTTTTGTTGTTTATCTTTATTTACTTTTAAATCTTCAAGTTGTGCTCTCTATAATTTTCGTTCTTCTAAATGCGAAGCATTTCTTGGCGAACTTCGGCGACATTGAGCGTATCTATCTATCTATCTATCTATCTATCTATCTATCTATCTATCTATCTATCTATCTATCTATCTATCTATCTATCTATCTATCTATCTATCTATCTATCTATCTATCTATCTATCTATCTATTTATCTATCTATCTATCTATCTATCTATCTATCTATCTATCTATCATTCTATCTATGTAACCGCCTACGACATTTAGCTCACCTGGCCGTTTCGATAATGGTAACAATACCAAACTTGGTATGGCATAACATGACTGTATAAAAAACATATTTGGCTAGTCATCACATGAAAATCATTACATGTATGTAATGAATGTCATGATTCAAATTTCATGCTCCTGCAGCTCTAGCGGTAGTTTCATTCACATGATATGTTGCAGAACTGGTATGGTATGACATGATTGCATGGCGAACACAAGCGACCGACCCAAACATGAAAATCATGACATACTTGTCATATAACAACATGACTACAAGCCACGCTCATGATGCACTCACGGCCGTTTCGTTTGTGTCACATATACCGAATTTGGTATTACGGTACGTGAATGGATGACGAAGGCATGTGACTGGTGAACACAATAATCAGTAGACGCATGTCTTGTAACAACAAGACTACATGCCACGCTCATGATGTGCTGGCGGCTGTTTCACTAGCTTCACTTATACCAAATTGGGTATTACGGGACCTGAATGAAGGACGAAGGTATGATACTGGTGCAAACATAATAAACGTGCGATACGTGTCATGTAACAACATGGCTAGATGCTACGCTCAGGATGCGCTTGCGGCCGTTTCGCCAGTTTCACATGTACCAAACTGGGCATTACGCGACGCGAATGGACGACATAGGTTAATAACTCATCCAAACATGATAATCACGACATGCGTGTCATGTAAGAACATGACTACATGCCACACTCATGATGCGCTCGGGGCCGTTTCACTAGCTTCATATATGCCAAATTTTGTATTACGTGGCGTCAATGGATGATGAAGGTATGCGATCGGTGCAAACGTGATAATCACAGGATGTGTGTCATGTGAAAAACACGACTGCATGCTACAGTCAAGGCGCCAATACACTTCGACGTGACGTGGTGCGCATGCTCGGCGGCGTTCATTTTGTCGCGTCACGCCGGCGTTGCCACGCCAGGCACCGGTCCTGCCATATACTTGCAGGCACGCGCTACGCTGCGTTACTTTGACGCATGCGCGTTTCAGCGCGTCCGGTGTCCCTCCGTCACGAAAAGAGGGAAACGCAGTGTTGCCTTGGTGACGCATCGGCGCGAATTTGTGCCGGTTGCCGTCGGGCCACGCTGACGGACGCTGGTCACGTTGGTCGCGCCAGGCGTCAGACTATAGAGTGCTCGCGTTTTGCAACCGTATCGTCGCTGTGCTCAGCGTGTGCGCGCATCAACGCTACATTGGAGTATATTGGCCCCTTTATGAAGCGCTTGTGGCCGTTTCGCTAGCTCCACATATACTAAATTTGGTGTTACGTTACGAAAATCGATGACGAAATATATGTGTGGTGCAAACATGAGAATCCTGACACGCGTGTCATGTAAGAACATGACAACATACCACGCTAATAGTGTGCTCGTGGCCGTTTCGCTTGCTCCACATATACTAAATTAGGTATCACGTGACGTGAATAGATGTCGAAAGTAAACGACACATCCAAACATAATAATCATGACACGGAAGTCATCTATGACACATTTACCTCCACCTCGTGGCGTTGTGGTGATTTTAAAGTGACATGTCAAGCTTTCCTGTTCGTGCTTCGCATATCATCGATTCCCACTGTATGTTGGATCTGCCCATTTTAGGAGCGAAGCTCCTTAAAGCGGCAGCTGTTCGTCTCGTGTAGTCGTAGGCGTAGTCTGTAACAAGTGTTACATTATGACCTGCAAGGTGATGCCGGTGGAAAATTTCTCCTGCGCATAGTTGAACAATAAAATCTTTCCGGCGTGCGCGTTAACAAAAAGCCAAATGCTCCTGTCTCGCATTCCCCATTAGCAGCCATTAGCATGTTCCAGTAGGAAACATCAGTAGAAGTAGAAGTATTAAAAGCCGACTTCTGCAGTCTCTCATTCTCAGTAGCAGCCGTTGTTTACCTCCAAGGTAGTGCCTGGTGAGATTTCTCCTGTGCGTGAATAAACATCAAAAACTTTTTGTTCAAAATGCCGTTGATTGATGAAATAAAGCAACGAAAGACACCAAGTAGCGAAACGAAAAGACGCCAGCTGTTTAACGAAAGATGCCAGGTGTTTTTTATGGGGTGAATTAACCGCAGAAAATTTCACGTTATTACTTCCAGGAGCTTCACCCAATCTCATCATCATTCACCTCGTGGATCTGCCGTCAATTTTTTTCTCTTTCAAGCACGCGATTATTGACAAGTTCTTGTTGTGCATTAGTATTTTAACATATAACCATTAAACAACGCTTGAAACCCACAACAAGTTAATGCTTCATAACCTTTACTTGGCTTCCTTGTGTGTTGGAATCATTTTATGAAGATATATTGATTTACCTGGGACATTTACACTGAAAACAAAAAGCAGACCCCAAGTTACAATGAATATATATCACATGATTTCTAGTGCATTTATTACAATGACACTAACACTGGTTTACCATACATAGGCTAATACTGTGTAAGGGCTTCAGCAGTATTTCGGTTGGATGGACTCGAAAAGGCACCAGAATTAAAGAGAAAAGCATACAAAGTATCCACGTTGTTGAATTGTGAAGTTTGTAGCCAAATAGAACGAAATGGGAATTGCTTACTATTGACGGGAGTCTTTAATGTTGATGAATAAATAAAACCATTTTGAGTAAGTAGAACAAGAAGTCTAAAGGCATCCAAAATGATAGCCAAGGCACCAACCGCACATTTTCGTCGCCGGACGTGGGCGCAAACTAAATAATTTGGCGCAATGTTACCACCAGGTTTCAAGTGTTTGCAACTTTTCATGAACACTGGCCAATAATGCCCGAGCTGAGCCATCGCATTCATTCAGCCGGTTTTTATGTCGCTGAAATTACTGTAATGAAAAAATTCTGTCTGGAAAAGGCACTTCTTTATACATCATTAGCACTGTGTATATGATGTTCTCAGATTCAGTCCTCCTACATTTAATACGCAACTTTTGAAATCCGCACAGAAAGCATCGTTCATTTGGCTGAAGAAGTACTCATAACGGCATAACTTGCCAATAAATATCCTTTCATATTTAATTTTCAGGTATTGGCAATCCAGAGCCCGTCTGCAGTGCCAAACCAGTATCAGCATACTGTATGGGTTATGGCACGCACTGGTATTTCGACCAAACCAAAAACAACTGCTATCGTTTCAGTGGTGGCTGGTGTGGAAAAAATGCAAATGGATTTAAGTCCCATTTTCTCTGCATGGATTATTGCAGCTGTAAGTATGAAATGATATTTGCTTTTTATGCAACAAATACGCCTTTTTCACGAATACATACGGTGAGTATCGTCTTACACGCTCGCCGGTCATATTATCTATTTATTTGTTTGCTCGGCTTGCAAAGGTGTGAAAATTTGCAAGTTTCTTAATGTATTATTATTATTATTATTATTATTATTATTATTATTATTATTATTATTATTAATAATAATAATAATAATAATAATAATAATAATAATATTATTATTATTATTATTATTATTATTATTATTATTATTATTATTATTATTATTATTATTATTATTATTATTATTATTATTATTATTATTATTATTATTATTATTATTATTATTATTATTATTGCAAGGGAGTTTAATAGCGACGCCAGGTAGTAGGCAGGCAGCCGGTACGGACAGAAATGCTCGAGCAGTCCAGCATCTACAGCTCGTGCAGACACTAGCGCTTCGCATTCAGAGAGAGATGGTCCCACTAGTCAGTGCCTTGCGAATTCCCCACTACAATACCCCGGCGACGAAGACGAGCCATCCTGGCGACTCAAGGTGACGAGAGAACAAGAGGGTCGTAGCAGGGCTTGAGGCGACTGACGTGGACCGTCTCACTACCAAGGCGGCGCTTGTCCGTGGATGGCTTGAGCGGTTCAATCACATAGGTGAAAGAAGAAGGGTGCTGTATGACGCGGTAACGGCCAGTATACTTCGGTGCAAACTTGGGAGTCGAGCAAGGAGAGTGGAAAGGCAGTCGGAGCCACACGAGAGAACCGACGGGGAAAGTGCCCTGAACAAGGTCACGGTCGTGGCGATCTTTTTGGAGGGCTTGATTATCGGCTGTGAAGGACTGTGCAAGCTGACGACACTCTTCGGCATGTTCGGCCATTTCAGAAACTGGGCTGAACTCGGAGGCATCAGGATTGTATGGCAGAATTGTGTCGAGTGTGCTGCATGGGTCACGACCATATAAAAGAAAAAAGGGAGAAAATCCCGTTGTTGATTGAATCGCCGTATTGTAGGCATACGTCACGAAAGGAAGGACAACGTTCCAATGTGAGTGGTTGGAATCAATATACATAGCGAGCATGTCTCCGAGGGTTCTATTGAAACGTTCCGTCAGACCGTTCGTCGGAGGGTGGTTGGCTGTTGATGTGCGGTGTACCGTACGGCATGAATGTAAGAGCTGCTGCAGAACTGCGGACAAAAATACGCGGCCCCTGTCACTCAGGAGCTCCCGTGGTGCACCATAACGAAAAACAAACCGATGCAAGATGACGGTTGCGACGTCACGAGCACCAGCCGAAGGTAGTGCTGCCGTTTCGGCATACCTTGTCAGATGGTCGGCAGCCACAATCACCCATCGATTACCACCAACAGAGCACGGTAGCGGGCCGTATAGGTCAATCCCAACACGGTCAAATGGGCGTGCAGGACATGGTAAAGGCTGCAGTTGACCGGGTGAATGAGGGAATGTCTTGCGCTGCTGACACAGGGAACATGAGCGAATGTGTTTGCGTACAAACGTGTTCATACCCCTCCAGTAGTAACGTTGACGGATCCGCTCATACGTCTTTAGCGCACCGGCGTGTGCGTGTTGCGGCTCAGCATAAAAATATTCGCAGACATCAGACCGCATATGGCTGGGTATGACTAGCAGCCATTTACGACCCACCACTTGGTAGTTGCGACGGTATAACAGGCCATCCCGTATGGCGAAATGCGTTGCTTAGCGGCGAAGAGCACGCGGGTACCCGGAAGTTGATGCGTCAGAAAGCATATTCAAGAGCGAGACAACACAAAGGTCTTCCCGCTGTTCGGATGACATGTCTGTGACGCTGACGCAAGAGAAGGGAAGGTCAAGGGCTGATATTTCCGTATTATCAGATTTCACGGGTGATCGTGAAAGCGCGTCTGCGTCAGAGTGCTTTCGCCCCGATCGGTAGATGACGCGTATGCCGAATTTCTGGAGGCGTAGTGCCCAACGTCCGAGGCGACCAGAAGGATCTTTCAGTGAAGCCAACCAACAGAGTGCGTGATGGTCAGTTACCACATCAAACGTTTGGCCGTACAAATAGGGACGAAACTTGTTTAACGCCCACACAATCGCCAGGCACTCTTTTTCCGTAACAGAATAGTTGGCTTCTGCCTTAGTGAGGGCGCGGCTGGCACAGGCGACCACATACTCCGTAAAACCTGGTTTGCGTTGCGCGAGTACTGCACCAAGGCCGACGACACTTGCATCCGTGTGTACTTCGGTCGGCCCAGTAGGGTCGTAATGATGCAGTACGGGTGGTGAGGTAAGGAGTTGGCGCAGTGTTGCGAAGGATTCGTCACAGGCATTTCTGATGCAGTGAGCAGCTTCCGGCTTCGAAGTTCCAGGTTTGCGTACCCAGCACACTTCCACCACTTTGCAAAGGAGCGACGCCAGGTAGTAGGCAGGCAGCCGGTACGGACAGAAATGCTCGAGCAGTCCAGCGTCTACAGCTCGTGCACACACTCGCGCTTCGCACTCCGAGAGAGATGGTCCCACTAGTCAGTGCCTCGCGAATTCCCCACTACAATTATTATTATTATTATTATTATTATTATTATTATTATTATTTAAAAATATTAATTAAATAACGATATTTGCACGAATCCGTTACAAGTCATTTTGGTATAGTAAGCAACATAAAATTATGTATAAATACTTAGTTTGCAAAAATTGTTTACATACCAAAACAAAACTAATATTTATGATTTATTGTAAGAAGGATATATAGCAATGGTACTGAGGTATTTTTCAGTGTCATACAAAACCTAAAGATTATGTTCTGTGTGTGTGTGCGTGTGTGTGTGTGTGTGTGTACTTGGGAGAGATGGGCGTGACCGGGGTGTTAGGTGTATTAGCTGGGATCATTATACCAATGGGACCATTATTCAAAGTGACCGAACCAGTAGGGTCTTCATGTGTGTTTTAACACTTCTTCAATGCAGAGGGCGCATAAAATAAAACAAAGAGCACGGTTAGCCTTTATTGTCTGCTACTCTCTATTTAAGCATATAGCAGCCATCGTTCCTGGTCAATGATGATTGAAAGCATATCGTGCAATGGTTGCTGCACAAGCGCTAGATAAAGCAATAAACTTTTGAAGGACCAATCACTGAAGCAATTTACATGTATACAGAAGCATTCAGGTCCATGGTCTGGGGTAGCTTGCTGTCTTCGTAGACGTTGAGCCACCGCATGTCACGCTCGGACCTCCGAGGTAGAGGCTTGTTGTCGCCGTTATCATTCTGCCGCTGCTTTACGACATCTCACTGCCACCGTAACTTGTCCGCGTCGGCGCTGCTCTTCCTGATGAGTGCATGACTACGTTCGTTTCTTTCAAAGAATGTGTGGTTTGGAACCCGCTTCTTCTTCATCATCATCAACGTTACCATTATGGTCACGGTGCATACCAGGTACCTCGCATCGTCATCAGTATCATCATCACCGTGAGCAGGGACAACGCACAATGGAGGAGCCTGGACTCTAAGGTGCTTCGCCACTATAACAATTCATCCTACTGAGGTGAACAGCGTAAGCGCCAACAGCAATGGTATCCGAAGAAGCAAGAAAGATAGTTAAATAAATATCAAAGCGCAACTTGACAGTCCTATAACTTATTATTTATAAAAACAACCAAATACATATCACACAGAGAAAAACGATTGATATTTGTCTGGCGTCACCCTGGACAAGATGTGGCACCAAGGACCTTGCCTTTGCAAAATGGGTGAGGTATTTGAGGAGTCATCTCAGCGCTGGACCTAATTGATTCGTTAAAACTGATCAGCTTCAAACGATGGGCTAATCAAAAGGGTGTTCTCAAATGCAGGGTGCTTTTTTGTCTGAAAACTATGAGTACACCTTGGTCACAAGGGAAAGCTCCCTATCGCGAAATTGTTGCCATGTCTATGCCTGAGAAAGAAGTGCGATGAGCGAACTTTGGTGTAGCATGCTGTAGAAAGAAGCGGATTGCAACATCCGTAATCAATCCAGGCTATTAGTGACGCCGCAGTGGAGGGCTCTATAGAGCAATCATCACCTTGGATTTTTATTATTTAAGCTAAAAACATAGAGTGCACGAGCCCCGAGATTTCGCATCCATCAAAATGTACTCGAACCTGTGACTTTCGGGTCGTAGTTGAGCACCGTACCTGCTGGATCACCATGGCGGTGGTAGTACAAAGCTAGCTTTGCACCACTGCGCAGCGAGAAAGACTGTGCGTTGTTCTCTTCACTAGGAGGTTCATTGAATAAAGACAAGATCAGATTTGTATTACGATGAAATTGCCGAAGAGTAACCTATTTTTTTACATATAAATACACGGTATAGACATGGTCTATATGATAATGCAACATTCCTCACACTCTCAAAAGAAGCAAGATCTGCAGCTGTGTTTGGGGAGAAATGTACAGCCTACAAGAGCCTCCCATAGTATGAGACGCCGATTGATGTCTATGTCACCGACATTGATTCTTAAATTTTCGACCTTGGCTCTTTTTCCGCAACTCAACTAAAAAATTGCGGGCTCAGTAATGCTTTTGCCTTCGCTCTTTCAAGAGCCTGCTCAAAGCACCTTCGTTGTGCGAGTTGGCCTCTTCCACAGCCGTACTTATTCTTCGGCTGAGACGACCGCTTAGCTCTTGTCCTCGCAAAATGTTTGCCGCATGATGTTCTTTTATTCAGGGAATATGGCCCAGCACCTGGATACTTACTCTTGTTTCGTGGGTGTTAAAGCACACGAGGCCGTTTCTACAGAACAAACTTACTACGCAAAACGAATACAGCATAACAACTCTGATACGATCTTGAAGGTGCTCATTTAACAAAAAAAAACAGCCATCAGTACCGAGGAACTCACCACCAGAATGGCGGGATAGACAAAAAAATGGCAGCATATCTACGGAGTGAATGATGGAGAGTGGGGCGAAGAATTCGTCCGTCCATTCGTTCTTGCTTC